GTTATTGTGAGAACGCCACATAACATGTATGCAGCTTTGAAGGGGAACACATTTGCATTGACAAATTCAATGTCTCAAAAGATTCATCTGTTACTCGTAAATATGCAAGTTACATTTGAACCAACAGACTCTCCAATATTACCATTTACTATCTCAGGCCCAGTTCACCAGTGTGAGGTCCAACATAGTGAAGAAACAAACTTGATCAAAAAGTTGGGCAGGTCAGAGATTGAGGGGTCACATGCTATTTTTATAGATGGACACTCGCATAGAGACAAAACTGGAGCATTGGTTGCAAGCGCAGCAGCAGTCATCCATGACAGGGAAACATCACCTGTTACCAATCCTGATTTTAACATACTGAAGGCAGAGGCGCTGGCAGGGAAGTCAGCTCAGTATGCAGAATTAGAAGCATTTAGCCTGGCTTTGGAGAACAGGCCAGAAGGACCTATCACAATATATACTGACCCTGAGTATGTGCATTCTACAGTGCATTTGCACTTGCCAATCTGGGTATTGCATGACAATTTCATCACAACAAAAAATTTGAGACCTACACATTTGGAATTATGGCAGAAGGTGGCAGACCAAATCAAGAATGTACGTCACAAAACTGCATTGGTCAAGTGTAGAGCACATACTCGAGCCAGAGACTTCGTGGCAAAGGGCAATGAGTTTGCTGATAGAGTTGCTAAAATGACAGCTGGGTATGACAGGATAGGTATGGCTCTGCAGGTAGTTATTGAAGACAATCCTGAGGGAACAGAGGAACCAGTGGAAGAAAGGGAAGAGTACAGTCCACACATATTGCAAGAAAATCCCTCACTGTATGATGTGACAGCATGGAAAACTGCAGGGGCCATTAAAAACAGTGAAGGAGTATTCTATGATACATTTGGTAAACCGTGCGTGACTACTAAAAAACTACTACAGATCATTCAAAGTAAGCATGAGGAAACACACATAAAGTGCTCAAAACTTTTTTCAGAACTAAGACGGCACATGTTCCATCCTTTTATGCTACCAACCATCCAGCATCTATGTGACTCATGTGACATATGTCAAGGGCTCTCTAAGGCAAGGGCTGTGAAGGCAGGCATAGGAGCATACCCAGTGCCTCCATGGCCCATGGCAGAAATCGTAATTGATTTCATCGACATGACTGCTGATAAGAAAGCGGATGGGTGTAGATACGTGCTCACAATGATTGACCCACTCACACGATGGCCTGAAGCTTTTCCTTTGGCAAAAGCAAATGCAGAATCAGTAGCCAAAGTATTCTTGACAGAGATCTTTCCAAGGTACGGCCCAGCGAGAGTTATCAGATCTGATAACGGCTCGCATTTTAAGAACCAGACAATGACCCAACTATGTGAGAGGCTGAATATAAAACAGCATTTTGGAGCAGTGTTACACCCGCAATCACAAGGGGTGATTGAAAGGTTCAACCAGACACTGAAAAACAGATTGGCACACATGTGTAGGGCTGGAAAAATGAATTGGAAACAGGCACTGCCTATAGCCTTGATGGCAATAAGAGGAGAACCAAGCAGGCCAATTTTTATGTCACCATTTCAACTAATGTATGGGAGACACATGCCCAGTAACTTATCTCGTTCACTGGAGCTCCCACCTCCAGCAGCCACTGATGATGCTAGGGAAACTTATATGAAAACATTGGTCACTACAGTGAAGTTTCTGCAAGATAACATTGTCACGCTGACCCAGAAATCTCCAGAGCCCCCTTTGCAGGCTGTAAAAGACAAACTTACAGTTGGAGGCTACATTTATGTGAAAAACCAGAAACATTGTTGGGATCAGCTAACTTGGAAAGGCCCATTTAAAATCTCCAAACTATACGAGTATACTTTGAAATATTACTTAGACGACTCACAAACTACAGAGTCATCCTTTGTGCACATATCACACACTAGGCCCACTAGTGCACCAGAAAGATCCCTGCTTGATGTAATGAAAGATATCACTACATCATCAGAAAAGGAGGCCGACAGGGGGACAGAGAGGGAAGTGTCTGACTCTATTAGTTAGAACATGGGGAGTTCTAGGGAGGGCGGAGCAACCCTATAATGCACCTATAGAGTCCCTCCAGATAGCCCTGTGATGCAAGTGTCTGATGGCATAGGGACTAGTGATGACAATAGTATGAGAGACCTTCTGGAACTGTTGGGAGTTGAGGATTTTGGACTTTGGGGCTCTGGACTTCCAGACTTTGGAGATTGGGATGTTGAGGTTCTGGCCCCTGAGGTTCAGGAGTCTGGATATCAGGATTTTGACATTAGAGATGGTGGAGGACAGGGTTTTGAGGTCCTGGACATTGGAGATTGGGTTGTTGAAGGTCAGGGCGATGAGGTTCAGGATGTTGAATATCAGGATATTGCCATTTTAGATTTTGGGATTCAGGGGTTTGAAATTATGGTCGATGGACTTCAGGTTATTGAAGAATTTGGCAATTTCTCTGACTTTATGGATTGGGCTGATCAAGGGGACTGTGCATTTAACTGACGTGGTTTGGATCCGACATAAGTGATAATGGTGGGGGTGACAAATTGGCCTATAGGGATGTTTAATTTATCACAGGATTGTGATAAAACAGGGGGAAGATTGATTATTGATTATTTTTATTGATTGATTATTAATATTATTTTTATAATTATTGAGATTGAATATATAAAAAAAAAAAAAAAAAAAAAAAAATATTCATGATCCAGAATCAACTATTTAGATGAGCAATTGAGCAAATCAAAGCTGAAAACACTAATCTGGTATGCATGGGATAGACTTTAAGACTGAGGTGTTCACCATGCAGGTACTCTCAACATGATAGGACCATGGACACTCTTAGGGTTGAGGACACGAGAGTGGGTGAGTATGGTGGTAGGTATAGGGATTATAGCTGGATTTTTTATGTGGGCCTGGGAAACAGAGTTAGGCCAGGGGTATGCAAAACCAACAACTGTCTATGGTAAGGAGAAAACTCTTGGTGTCAATTCCTCAATTTCTGATTATTCAGACATTTTACCCGGCAAACAGATGAAAGAACGCAAAATTCAACCTACAAAGGGGACAGGGATAAAAATAAGACCAAAAAAGGGAATTGGATAAACTGGGAGCATGTGCAAAAAAGCGACAATACCTATTTGGGGTGCAATTGTGTTTAGCAAAGGGAGAACATATGGCATTCCAGGTACCTTTTATAGCATTAGTAAACAAAGGGAAAAAAGTGGGAGCAGAAAATTCAGATTATGAATGGTACATGACAAATGACATGAGAGATAAATCATGGGGGACAATGGTGGCATATACTGGATTAGATTGGACACCAACACCAACTACAGAGTTTGCAAGACACCATTCTAAAATAATTTCCATGACAAAGGGGATTATGCAGGGAAGTGTACCATGTCTTACAATTACAGTGGACTTGAGAGGTGAGTCATTGGACCCAAGAGACAGATCAGGGAAGAAACCTCTATGGTTTTGTTGGGGATTTCTGGTAGTATTCCGTGCATACGATCCTTATGTAACAGAGTGATAACAGCCGCTGTGGAAGGGAAGGTGGCAGAAAGACAACTGCTACTAACCCAGGACCTACAGTGGGAACCAGAAGAATTGATGACCATAGCCTAAGCCATAAAGGACAATCATCAGAAGAACGGGTGAGTATGGTCTGTGATATTGTCAGAATATCACCAGAGGAGTTGTGAGTATGCTTTATGATATTATCAAAATATTTTAATCAAAAATGTATGACTGCTTGCATGTAAATAACGCACATAACCTTGCAAAATTGTAAGAGGGACTTGGGAAAATCGGGGATGCGATAAAAAATTATAAAAATTAAAAATTAAAATAAAAAATTACATAATTCAAATTGATGCACGACACAAACATATTCTTTCTCCACAGCTCTTGCAACTATTGTTTTTGTTACACAGAATAGACACCGCAGCACACCCACATATAGAATATTTTATAGGATCACTTCAATGTATGTAGTTTAGGGTGAGTTGGATGCTCAGTCCGCCCAGAGGCCTTTGGGGCGGGTCTGAAGTAAGGGCTGAGTGGAAGACCACCACATTTTTCATAATGTCACATGGGGTGGTTTAGGAGTTCACAGATCGTCGTGAAGACTGGGATTAGACTGAGTATAGGATGTAATGCTGGATCAACTGATGAAGATGGGCCATCTGAGACGAGAGTGATGGATGTCCGAAGAGTTCCTCTCCGGCCAACAGGGGGACTGTTGGAATATTAACTCCTGCACCAGTTAAAAACTAAAATCAGTTTAGTATTGTTTCTGTTGCCAAATTAGCACTTGTTTGTGTAAATCTCAAAGAGCAGTGAGTTCAAGGTTAGTCTGTGTGAGAATGGGAGGGGGACAAGAGAAAAACAACTGTGGTTATCAGAGCAGGTGCAGGCTTTGGCAGCTGGCCAGAAGAAGTCATAGAGTCCATACAGTTGTGATGTCATTGACCTTGGATGTAAAGTATAAATGTATGTGCAGGAGTGGTCACGAGAGACTACTTTTTGCTTTTTCGTCTGACAAGGAGCAGTGAGACGTCCCCGGGGGCCACTCCTTATCTGAACGCGAAGCGAGATCTGTTCGCGGACCGTTATCTTGTAATATTGCTTGCAAAATCTTCAATATAACCTTTTTGAAATCAGGTTTGGTATCTGTCATTTCTATCACTGTTTTAACATTGGTTTTTGTCTCTTGTTGAACTAAAAGGACCTGCAGAACGAAGGGCTGTGTTTGCGGCCTCTCTGCAGCTTCTGGGGCGGGGGAATTCTGACAAATTACTGCAAAACACATACAAATTATATCATGAGCTTTGAATAAAAGAGATCAAACAGCGCCATCTTCTGTAAAAATCACGTAAAAATATAACACAAAACAGACCGGAAGAAGTCCTCAAATCTCGCGATACTAAAGCCTCCGAGACTTCAGCGCGTTCTTTTCGTCCGGAGCATCAGGCAAGATGGTGGGTGTTTGAGCTGCTGCGATCTGAAAACATGTCATCCACAAGCATCTGGGGGAAAAACTGCCCTTTGGAGCGCGCTGTCTCCGTGTGACGACCGCTTTACTGCTTTGGGATCGATACGATGTTTAATTTGAGAGCATAAAAGCCGATGTTTGATATATTGCAGTTAGCATTATGGCTAGTGGCTAAGCTAACCGGCGGGCCCGTGCGTGTGCTGTAATTTTGAGATGTTCCTTTTCAACATGTCATTCATTAAGTTACTTTGCCTACAGTCTTATAGTTTCCTGTTATGGATGAATGTACGTGCTCCATTAAATATTTGACGTATGTGTCTTTCCAGGCGGATACCGAGATCAAGAAGAAGCGTACCTTCAGGAAGTTCACCTACAGAGGAGTGGACCTGGACCAGCTCCTGGACATGTCCTAGTGAGTTCTGCTGCTGCTGTTTACTGCTGTGGATGTTTATGGTTGCGGACAAACGAGGACTGGTTGTGGATAATTGCCCAAGAGTCAGAAGTGGACTGACTGAGCAGCTGAAACCTATTCTACAGTGTAAATGTACATCTGGCTGTTTTTTGGATCGTACCCTCAATGTTTACTTATCTGCTGAGTTTATAAAAACTTCTGTAATGTCCCGTATTTATGACATTTCTACACTGTGGGCATATGTATGTTTGTTTTTGGACCTGAAAGATCTATTTATCTGAGGATTTGGAAATGCCTGTTTCTCTGGATATCGGATCTGGGGGTCCTCAACTCAATGATGTTGTTGTTACAAAAAGGATTTATTGTACATAATGATTGGAATGTGATAAACGGACGACATTTCTAAACTGGATGTTGCAACTCTAAACAATCCTTTTTCAATATTAAATCATTTCAGAAAATCTGCCAATGCAAGGTGGCAGATTATGCACAGTGGGTCCATATTTCTAGAACACTCCTGCCCGGTGTCTGACCGTTTGTTGAAATGGAGTTTAAAATTGTAATATGTAAATGTGTTACAGTGAGCAGCTCATGCAGCTGTACTGCGCCCGTCAGAGGAGGAGGTTGAACCGCGGTCTTCGCCGCAAGCAGCAGTCTCTCCTGAAGCGTCTGCGAAAGGCCAAGAAAGAGGCGCCCCCCATGGAGAAACCAGAGGTGGTAAAGACCCACCTGCGGGACATGGTCATCCTGCCTGAGATGGTCGGATCCATGGTTGGCGTTTATAACGGAAAGACATTCAACCAGGTTGAAATCAAGGTGAGGGAATTCTGTAAGATCAATCTTTCATTAAAGGATCACTCTGAAACATCGCCCTCTCTGGTCTCTCTCTCTGGTCTCTCTCTGGTCTCTCTCTCTGGTCACTCTCTGGTCTCTCTCTGGTCTCTCTCTCTGGCCTCTCTCTCTGGTCACTCTCTCTCTGGTCTCTCTCTCTCTGGTCTCTCTCTCTCTGGTCTCTCTCTCTGGTCTCTCTCTCTCTGGTCTCTCTCTCTGGTCTCTCTCTCTGGTCTCTCTCTCTGGTCTCTCTCTCTGGTCACTCTCTGGTCTCTCTCTCTCTGGTCTCTCTCTCTGGTCTCTCTCTCTGGTCTCTCTCTCTGGTCTCTCTCTCTGGTCACTCTCTGGTCTCTCTCTCTGGCCTCTCTCTCTGGTCACTCTCTGGTCTCTCTCTGGTCTCTCTCTCTGGCCTCTCTCTCTGGTCACTCTCTGGTCTCTCTCTGGTCTCTCTCTCTGGTCTCTCTCTCTGGTCTCTCTCTCTGGTCTCTCTCTGGTCTCTCTCTCTGGTCTCTCTCTCTGGTCTCTCTCTCTGGTCTCTGAAAAATCAGTGAAGATACAATCCCTCAGTTGTATGCGCTGCTAAATAGAACTGTTTTACTTTGGATTTTATCAGAAGATGTGCTGCACATTTTCAGGAAGACTGTTCCAGACTGTAGCTCTAGTTCTGTTTAGTTCTGATTCTGGAGAATGGTAGAGGCTAAAGTCTTATTTAAAATTCAGTCTTTATTCAGTGGAAGAGTCGACACAATGTTTACTCTTGAGTGAAATGTTAGCTTGTTACAAACTGCTCTAACAGCTGTTTTCTCTTCCTCAGCCTGAGATGTGTGGCCATTACCTGGGAGAGTTCTCCATCACATACAAACCTGTGAAGCACGGCCGCCCTGGTATCGGAGCTACGCACTCTTCTCGGTTCATCCCTCTGAAGTAGAATGGCTGTTATCTTTGTATAAATAAAAATGGTCTAAAACATTCCTGTGAATGATCATTATTGCTGTTTATGAAAGAGTTTGGTTTCATTGTTGGTCCCTGTAGTTTCATCATACAATATTTTTTGTTTTTTAAATATATAACCAACTCCATTTCAAGGTTTTAAATGATCAGTCAGTTTAGTGGGATGATTTTACAATTTATATTTGGGAAACTAGTGACTTTTTAGTTTGAAAGTATTCCATTCCATTTGAGCGACAATGATTTGTATCTTTTTCCTTTAAGTATCTGAAAAGTTTGTTACGAACAGATATCTGAGCTGTAAAGTCTTATACCTGGTTATGTCAAGGCTATAGTTCGTTCTGAAAGTTGGTCATTGACATTTCTAGGCGAGGCTTCTACTCTTCAAATGGTGTGAAATATTTTCTCAAGTTCCTTTTTACGCGACACACATACGTAGATGAAAACGTATCAAACTGTAAATATGACAGTCACATGGATCATGGTGCTCCCCTCAAACATTCCGGCGCAAACATGACTCCACTCAAGGTTCCGCTTCCTTCCGTGCTGTGGCTTCGCTTGTGTGTTCTGCAGCGGCCACTGTGGGCCATGGGTGCAACCTTTAGCACGCGTATTATCTGCTCCGTGACGCCCAGTTAAGCAACTCCCGGCCATCATCACACTAACAGCGGTCGCATTGGTAAGTGTTCAGTCTGTGTGTATGTTTTCCGCGCGAACCAGTGAGCCACGGCTGTGTTTTCAGGACAGGAAACCCCAGAACCGCTGCTAGCTCCCGGCTAACATTTTTGCGCTCTCAGTGGCTAGCAGCGTTAGCATGTGGCTAGCAGCGTTAGCATGTGGCTAGCAGCGTTAGCATGTGGCTAGCAGCGTTAGCATGTGGCTAGCAGCGTTAGCATGAGTGAAAACAACAGAGAGCAGCTGTCCTGTCAAAACGCAGTAAGCTACTATTCAAGCTAGCGGCTCCACGGCTGCTGTCATTACCTACAACACATCATTCCCTCAACCCTGCCAGTGTTGTATCTCTATTTACCACATGTTTTTGACTGTTTTTCACCTGAGACGAATGAGCCAATATTCAGAACAAAGATAAGAGCTAGCCTTGTATTGCTGCTTATTCAACAGCTCCACACCCTGAGTTTGCATGTGGATGTGTTCTGCTGTATGTGCTTCTGTAAATGCACTTTGTAGAGGTAATGTCAGTGCAGATGTGTGTGTGTGTGTGTGTGTGTGTGTGTGTGTGTGTGTGTGTGCTGCTGACATATATGGGCGTTTCACTGTACATTTGCACAGATTATGCAGAGACAAGGCAAGACCAGCTGTTGACACATGATCAATGGTCCCCTGTTTTAAATAACGTTTTTAAATTGCTTAATGTGTTGAGAGAATCAGTTGGGGGAAAAATATAGTTATAGAAAACATAAGACTTGTATTGACATGGCACTGTCACTGCCCTCTGCTGTATTCTTGTGTATATTTTGACTGTAAAACACGTGAAAAGACTTGATTTGGGTTTATTTTGGTAGAGCTAGGATTTGGAAAGTCATTGTTTCTGTCTCAGTTGAACAAACAAAGGAACTTGACATTTCCTCGGTAGTGTTTGTACCTTTTTATTGTTATCAGAACTTGCTGTGCCACATTTTCCAAGTTCATGAAGTAATTTGGCACAATGATGTCGTTGAGTTGAGTGTTTATCTATTTATTTCGAGGTCAATGTACAGCAAACATTATCATTATTAGAATTTTCACACATTATTCATTAACATTGACTAGTTATATATGGTTGTACTAATAACTTGTATATGATTCAAGCTCAAAAAGTTAGTGGGAGGAAGAAAAGACGTAAAGATTCCCACCCCTTTGAATATCACATCTCTGTGTTTGGAGCATGGATCTATTATGATATCAGGTTTGGAGCCAGTAGCAGAGCAATGTGCAACAACATATACCTCTGCAAACTATAACATCCATTAACTGGGTTTGTTGACTATTGTAAAAGGCTTGTCAATGTATTTAATAATAATAATATTTTATTTGATTTCATGGCGGCTTTCAAGACACCCAAGGACGTCTTACAATATATATAAAAACATCACACACAATATTGAAATTACAGAATATAAAACATTTCAAAATTACAAAGAAAAAGCCAGTTCAAAAGGTAGATTTTGAAATGTCCAAAGCGTCACAGGTCAAGCAGTAAACTGTAAAATAATTTCTGCCTTAAAACTTTGACCAGTAGTTGTGAAAAGGGCTCTCATAAGTGACTAACACAGATAAATCGGTCCAATATTTACACATTCATCTTTATTTTACATGGGTGCCCTGTTCCACACTATCCAAAAACAACAAGTAGTGTGTCTTAGTGCAGTTCTTGTTCCAGTCTGTGTGTATAAATTGGGCGGAGTCTTTCTTATGTGTGGAAATATCGGCTTTGACTTCTCTCCGTCCGGCCGCTATGAGGTCATGGCCGGTTATCCCTCATGTGCAACAGTGAAAGCAATAGTGGTTCATTAGTGACGGGGAAAGCAGTGTCTCTTCTGGGACTTTTTGTACGGAGCCCAGGAATTACTCAATGTTGGAACAATGGGGACTGAGGCTGAATGATCATTTCTCTGGCAAGTGTGAAATTCCTTCTGATAGAACGCTGTCTTCATACACTGCCTCTCATTTATGAAACTTGCGCAGAAAAGGGTGTATATTTTTGGTGCAGATTCCAAATACGCAAGATCCAACGCAGGATTTATGAACGTGTGAGATCCGCCCAGATCCGAGCGTACGCAGCTGCGGGTGTTGATGAATGCCACGGTCAAAACTAGCGTATTTATGAAAGTCACGCCTAGAAATATTCAGAAACCGCCCGTTTCACGCCCTGTGTTTACCACAAGTCAATATAGAAGTTGTTCAGAAAGACCTGTTAGTGACACGCACTGAGTTGATGTTGAGTTTTATTTTATTTTATTATTTTATGCGTGTTTTTTCCCTAGTGTCTAGACCCACTGCAGCACTCATCTCTCTTTACCTTTAGAATTGAATGAATGAATATTAATATCTCGGCCTCATTAACCGGGTCAAGCGTCAGCGGCATCTTCTTGTGAATGCAATGGAGCGATCTTTGTGAGAGAGAAAGGATGTTAATGAGTTTGGGAAGTGTCCGTGATTTCACAGAGAAACTCTGGATCCAAAACGTCTGAATGACGCGCACCACGTACGGCGAGTGCGGTGGGCCACTGCCCCAGAGCCACTGCCCCATAGCCACTGCCCCAGAGCCACTGCCCCAGAGCCACTGCCCCAGAGCCACTGCCCCAGAGCCACTGCCCCAGAGCCACTGCCCCATAGCCACTGCCCCAGGGCCACTGCCCCAGAGCCACTGCCCCATAGCCACTGCCCCAGAGCCACTGCCCCAGAGCCACTGCCCCAGAGCCACTGCCCCAGAGCCACTGCCCCAGAGCCGCTGCCCCAGAGCCACTGCCCCAGAGCCACTGCCCCATAGCCACTGCCCCAGAGCCACTGCCCCAGAGCCACTGCCCCAGAGCCACTGCCCCATAGCCACTGCCCCAGAGCCACTGCCCCAGAGCCACTGCCCCAGAGCCGCTGCCCCAGAGCCGCTGCCCCAGAGCCGCTACCCCAGAGCCACTGCCCCAGAGCCACTGCCCCAGAGCCACTGCCCCAGAGCCACTGCCCCAGAGCCGCTGCCCCAGAGCCGCTGCCCCAGAGCCGCTGCCCCAGAGCCACTGCCCCAGAGCCACTGCCCCAGAGCCACTGCCCCAGAGCCACTGCCCCAGAGCCACTGCCCCAGAGCCACTGCCCCAGAGCCGCTACCCCAGAGCCACTGCCCCAGAGCCACTGCCCCAGAGCCCGTTTCCACAGCGCTTTGCCATATCTCTGCCCTCGCTGCGTGTATGGGGCTTTATGCACAAAACTAATGAAAAATAATCATACAGATGAAAATAATACACACAAAAGTCAGATTTAAAATAAAAAAAACCAAGAGGGTCCTCATCATGAACTGTGATTTATTCGAAGTTTGCGTGTTTCCAGAGTGTTAGAGTTTTTCTGATGTGGGCGGCACGGTGGCTGAGTGGATAGCACTCTCGCCTCTCAGCAAGAAGGTCCTGGGTTCGAATCCCGGTTGGACCAGGGCCTTTCTGAGTGGAGTTTGCATGTTCTCCCCGTGTCTGCGTAGGTTTCCTCCGGGTGCTCCGGTTTCCCCTACCACTAAAAATATGTCCAATAGCTCTGGAATGTGCCTCCTGTTCCGCGACCCCGCTCCCATCTCTGTGTGGAGTGAGAGACAAATGCCCAAATTAACAATTGTAAAGTGCTTTGAGACTCAGATCTGCAGTGAAAAGGCGGTATATAAATAAAGATTACTTACTGATGCGCAAATTAAAATTTAGAAACATGATACTCAATTTTACCAGAGGGAACATGTTTATTGTTGTCCGAAGCGTGTTGTGACGAAGGTTGAGACGGGTGTCAAATGTACACCACCTCCAGACTCTGTGTATATTTTGTGCCGTACGCTCACGTCCAGATTGATAAATGCCGAAAAGTGTAAATTATTTGCGTACGCCTCATTTACACCTGATTTGGCAAGTTTCATAAATGAGGCCCAATGAGAGTTATTTGTTGTAGTGTTTAATGTAGTGTTTTAATGTGTTTTTGTTTTCAGGGTCAGTGAGGAGAGTTGACCAGTGAATGCATAGAGTTAAGAAGGTGAAACTTTGTGACAAATCAGAAGGCATTTGGAAAAGGTACAGTATACACGGAGCTCACGCTGTGTTGTTTTAAAAAAATAATCACGTTTTCATAAATATACATGACACAAAATTGTCTATTTGTTAATGACAGATTTTAAAATCAAACCAATTCAAATCATGAATAACTTTAGCATGTTAGTTTTAGCTCCATCTGTGCTAATATTGGGAAATTCCTTTTGTCTAAATGCTCTTTTTTTCACAGTCCGTACACAATTATTCA